GCTGAGTGAGGGGGCTGTGAGTGTGAGAGGGGCTGTGTGTGTGTGAGGAGGGGAGTGTGAGAGGGGCTGTGTGTGTGAGGGGGTTGTGAGTGTGGGTGAGTGTGAGAGGGGCTGTCAGTGTGTGGGGGAGTGAGTGTGTGAGAGGGGCTGTGAGTGTGAGAGGGGCTGAGTGTCTTTGTAAGGGGGCTGAGTGTGTGTGTGGGGGGGTGAGTGTGTGTGTGAGGGGGCTGAATGTGAGGGGGCTGTGAGTGTGAGAGGGGCTGTGTGAGGGGGCTGTGAGTGTGTGAAGAGGGCTGTGTGTGAGGGGGGCTGAGTGTGTGTGAGGGTGAGTGTTGTGAGGAGGGGATGTCTCTCACCCACAGACACCGCCGAGGGGAGGGAAGGGGAATGGCTCCCCGGGCGGCTGCAGTGCTTTGGGGGGCTTGCCTGCCAGGCTGTTCTGTCACGCAGCGGGTGGGCAGCCCCCAGCCCCGATTTAGACCGCTCAGGTACCTGGTTTTAGGCTCTCTGGCAGTCACCCGAGGGAAACGGGCACTCCTTGCTGCGTTTCGACTAATTAAAACAGAGCAGCTGACTCAAGTCCTACCGTGTTCCTTCCTCTCGGACCGGGGTCCTAGTTTGTAGCCTGGGTCAGTTGGTGTTTACGCTGTAGATGCCTGCATTTAGATGGGACAGGCGTGTCAGGGGGAAAAAGATGGTTGAAAAGTAGGAGGATGTGGACCATAAAACAGGTGTGGAATGACACTTGTAGGAGCCAGGATCAAAACGAAAGGCTGTGGTTCATCGTGCAGCAGGTAGTGGAGCAATACTTCTCACCTGGCTTTGTGTGGGTTCAAGGAGAGCCCGGAGACGTTCAGAAAACAAGTCTGTTGACAGCTACTACTTGCTTAGAAACCACACCTGGTTCAGTAAGTCTTTGAGATGAACTGGCCACAAGCTGGAGGATCTTCTGGCCATTTCTGTACGTGGCTCAACAGATACCAAGTTTGACGCGGTGCTGCTGCTTTGTAAATGCTCAGGACTGAGAGCTACCCAAACAACTAGCGAAAACGTCAAGTTATCCCATGATATACATGCACGTGAAAGAACTTGAGAGCTCTCAAGGCAGCTGCCTACAGCCCAGGTGGGGGATGCTATTTGGCCCATCCTGGGTTTTTTTTGTTGGAGAGTTAGTTAAAGATCACAAGCTGAAATGCAGCACCCAAAAGCCTCCTCCTTGGCTGGGAGAGAGGCAAGAGTGAGTGGGATGCCTCTGTATCCCACAGTGCTGACAGGGAAGGGAAAGGTATTTTTTTCTCAAAAACTGCCAGACATACACAAAATGGAAGGGTGTATCACTACTATTTGCTCTACAGAAAACACCTAAAAACCAGAACAGACTTAAACTGGCAGAACATCTAGAGCCTCAACCTGTTTCAAAGACTATTGAAATCACCCAGAGACCTGTCAATTTATTTTTGAGCTGAACAGCGATATAAATAATACTATGACATTAAATAAGACTAAAACAACTGTAGAAACCCACAACACTACTAGACAGCTATACACAATCATCTCCTTGAGCATCAAGCGTTGTGTGATATTACTGTTCTGACCTGTTAAGTTCCTGAATCATGACTGTTCAGGACTTAGCCATTGCAAGGGGGGATTTCTGTCCTGGAGACTCGGTGTTACCTCTTACATGCCCAACCTCTGTTGAACTTCAAGGGAGAATCAAACACAAAAGGCTAAGGTTTGGATCTTTGGCCCGTCTTGGAAAATAATGTGCTTTTAACTGTAAAAAATGAAAATCTATGATACAGCAGAGGTTAGGACCAAATAAATCAAATTCATATTTTAACGTTTCCCACCCTCATCTTTCATGTCACAGGTTTGATGAGTTCAACAATCCCTGTTCAGATTTAACAGTCTAGAGCTCTTTTACTTATGTAAAAGTGTAACAAAAAAAAAAGGCTACAGAACAATCCTTGTAGGAGTCTTTAAGATGGTAAGTACATGACAGAGAAATCAGAAGATGGTCTCATGGAAAGGAACAAAATGCAGTGGTGTGTTACAGTAGAAGCACCTGCCGAGACGAGAGCAGAGGAGAAAGCTGCAGTTACGCAATAAAATGACGGAGTTTGACGTTCAGCGCTTTTTCTTTAGTCAGCAAATCCATAGCGTGCTTTCTGTAAGCGTCAAACTGCAGCGAGAGTTCGTTGTATGCCTGCTTGCTGCTTTCGAGCTGTCGTTGGAGCTCTTGGACCTTCAGATCATTGTCCACTGCTGCTGCCTCTTTCATGAGGCGCTTCCCTGCTCTCTGCCTGGCTTCTTCTGCAGCCTCCAGCTTCTTCCCCAGCTGCTCAATTTCCCGTTGCTGCTTATCTTGCAGAGCTTTGCCCCTCTCCGTGGCCAGGTTCAGTAGTCGCTCTTTCTCCTCGTTCACCCTCTCCAGCTTGGCCTGCAGCTCGATGCCCTGAGTCCTCTGCTGACTTTCTGCGTGCTCTACCTGTGCAACGGTTTGTTGGTGCTCCTCCTGCCAGCGTTGCAGCTGGTTTTTTAGTGCGTTGACTTCCCAGGCGTGGGCACTTGCTTGCTGTCTCTGAGCTTCTAGCAGCTCCTTTTCTCGCTCTTGGGCTCTGCGAGTCTCATAAGCACATTTCTCCTATAAGGAGTCTAACTGCTGCGAGAGCTTTCTGGCCTGGGCAGCGAGCTGGAGAACTTCAGCTTCCTTCTCCTTCACAGTCTGGCTGAAAAGCACTTCGTTCTGCCGCAGGTGCTTATTCTCCTCCTGCAGCCGCATATGCCGTTTCCTGTGTTCATCCCTGAACTGCATCATTTTTTCATGGTTCTTGGCCAGATCCGTGATGCGCCCCTCCAAGTGCTGAATCCGTTGGGTCTGGGTTTTCATTTTCACAGCATCCTCTGTCCTCAGTTTCTCCAGCTCCATGTTGAGCTGCTCCAGGTCTCTGCAGCGTTTGCGTGCGTCGTCTGCTTTTTTCTTCAGTATACAGATAAGGTGATGCTGCTGTTCTAGGCGTGAATGCAGCAGAGCCTTCTCACTCTTCTCCTCTTCGAGGCTCTCACGGAGTTCCTCCAGGCCTTTTGTCAGATCTTCTGTGTCTTTGCCCGTCTCTGGATCACTTGTGGAGTTGGCCATCCCTGCCTCTCTCTCATCCAGAGCCATGGAGCCCCTGTCTCACACAAAGATGAGACAAAATTTTATAGTGACTGCTTCTTTTAGTGACATTCAGCATAATTAAACAGTACCCAACGGTTGTATGGCCAACACCACTGCACTAAGCTGGTGGATTTTCTCTGGACGTCCAGAGAAACCAGTGCCCAGGGGGGACAGGACATCCCAAAACCAGCGGCAGCCTGCAACCCGCGCAGTCCTGGAGCCCTCCTCGCCTGCTTCGCCCTGCTTCGAAGTCAGGCGGACTGATGAGAAGGGTGCCAGGCTCCTTGATGCAAAAGCAAAGAATGTAAGCTTACTATTTATGCAAGCCTATTCATTTGCTGATTACTAGCTTTGCTAATTATTCCTTCTCAAAGCGCTGTTGTTGTAGCTACAAGAAGTACTATTATATTGAGGTTAAAAGCTTGTAAGTGGTAAAGCTGTAAATAATTCCTTAAGCAATCCTTTTCCTCTGCCTTTATTTTCTGCTACAGATCTGGTATTATAAATGCAAGTAAAACATGGAGGGTTACATCAAACTTCTAATTTATTAATAAGATTTTAATAGTATATTGCTCATTAAAAATAATGGAATAGCCTTATCCCATGCTTAGAGATTTATGAATAAAATAAAAGATCTATACAATGCTAATAATTAGTGAATGCACTGCGATACAAAGGCTTGGTGCCTGGAGTAATGGTTCATCATTTGAGTTTTGACACTGATTTGCTGGATTACTTTAGGCACGTAATTTTAAAAGTCTGGTTCCTCATGTTAAAAATAAGGGAAATATTTATATTACGTTGGCACCAAAATCATTATTGGTGCCTAATCACATGGCATGCTACCCAGACGAATGAAAAGTCAGCCTAAAACTGATCTACGAGTTTTTCAGTCAGAGAACAGACCTGAAACTACATTGTGCATGGAACAGCCTGCTGATAACCAGCTTTTGTGAATTCCTGGGCTTTGACTGGAGGTAAAGATAGGGCATGGGAAGGAGCCAACTTAAAGAAAGGACAAAAAATAATGTGCAGTAAAAATGAATTAGTGCCTGTGAAGCACGGGCAGCTTCAGAGCTGTACAGCAGCAACCGTCGGCAGGGATGCTACCTCTGTCTCCACAGCCCCACGCTCCTCTACCGCTGTTGCTACCTTGGGTCCTGCCAAAATATTTGGAAGTAATGGAGGAGAGGGGGGAGGACTAAAAGGTTTAGGCCGTCCAGTGGAAACACAATGAAGAACAGGGTTTAAGAGGAGAAAAATGTGTTCTTTCTTACCGGGTGTTTTCTTTCCCCTGACTGTTTGTTGCTGCTGTCTCCGTGGGTTTCTGTCTCTGTGGCGATAAGAGGCTGAAACCAGTCACCCCAGAACTCATGCCTTTGTAAGGGCTGGTTGGAACTGGGCCAGCCCCACCAGAGTGGCTGAAAGAGCTGGGACTGTTTCTTAGCAAACAAATGCTGCTGACACTCTCAAAAGCACTCAGATTTGGTAGAGGGAAGAGGATTTCCACAAGTCTGAAGAATTCCTCACTCAGCTTGCGCCCCGCATGTGCCAGAGGACATCACAATGGCAGGCTCTGACCTTCTCAGAACACGCTGAAGGTCTACGGTAAGTAGACACAGCCCTTGCCCTAAACAACTTGCAACTTTATTCAGCAGTTAATGAAAAATCTGGCAGATAGCATAGGGAAGGGGAAAAAAAATGCAGCTGAAAGGAAAAAGCCAGTGCAGGTTTTGCTGACTCCACTGGAAAAGGATACGAAGCAAAGAGGAGTGAGTGATGTCAGTAAGGGATTTGAAGTGAACAAGACAAGGAGGGTGCAGTACCAGATCTTTCATATATGTGTACCAAAAAAACCCACCATTTTGGGCTAAAGCAAAGATGAGCATGCACAGTGAAGGAGAAAAAAAATAAATAAAAAAAAGTAAAAAAATGTGTTTCTCCCCTTTGCTTCTCTGGGCAAGGATGGATATATGCAAAGACATTCTAGGAGTATGGCTGCTTTGTCATAAAGGTGAACTGGAATTAAGAATCAAAGCATAGCTCTTAACTTATCAAACTGCCCTTTGGTGAGTAACTAACTGCACCTTTAAAGTTTTGGTTATGGATGACTAAAACCTTTCCTTCTGACTGTAAAGCAAAGAAACTAGTTTCTTGAAACTTTTTCTCCTAATCAACTTCATAAACTTACATTTCTCTATCAGTGTATTATCGATCTGGAACATACTACTGTAATTAGGAATGACTGAATTTGGTGCAAAGCTGTATTTATTATGTGAACCACATTCAGAGGTATGTCAAAAAATACCAATAATCTTTCTTAAAAAGTAAATTTTGCATTACTTTTGTTTTGTATTTTCAATACAGAATTCCCACTGGTTTACATGATTAGATGCAGCCATTACCTTCAAGCACTTTTTAATAAATCAACGTAATGTCCTTTAGCAGGAGGTGAAATTGTAATGTTTCTACTCTATAATTAAATCCTACAGCATGCATAGGGTAATCAAAGTACTTTTTCCACTGATAAAGCAGCTTGGTTTGTAATCTTCCCTTCTACTGAAGTTCATCTCACCAGGACAGCTTTGACTTTTCTTGTGTATGACAATAGTAAAACGGTAAAAAGATGATAAGCACAGCTCTGCTAAAGATGATAAGCTAAAGCTCTGCTGAAAATCTTTAACTTGGAGATGTACAGCTTGATACAGACTCCATGGCAGACTAACAGTGATAACAATAACTATCTAGTAAATATTTAGTGTTGTTAAGTGCTACTGTACTTTTCAAAGACTCTGCTGTGACTGCCTCTGCTGACCTCCTGTACATTTGGAAGCACGAGGAAGACTCGCTTTTGTGTGTGGTGACAATTATCCTTACAGGTTTACCTATAATAGTCTGCATTTGCTGCACATGCTGAAGAAAGGTATGAAAAACTGGGGAGGAGCACTTAATTTTTTGTAGTAAAGGGCCTGTTTCTGTTACTTGGCTTAGTTTGTTGATTAATCTAGATGAGTACATGATACTGCTATGTCATTAGTTAATCACACTAATTAATTACAAGTTCAGTGCAAAAGTAAATCTTACGTTCAGGTAGCTTTTTGAAATTTAAACTGGGTTTTGATCTATTTAGCGTGGCGGTAAGCAGTGTCTTTTGAGATAATGACAAAATGCTGTGTGTCTCTAGGACAGTTTAAGAATAGTGAGACAGAAGACGCTCTACTTGACCAAAAGACAAGGAGATTGACACTGTCACAAACCAAACATTTTATTTTGATGGCATTCAAGTTTAACTACCAAAATTTTGTACAGTGTTGAACACAGCAGATTACATGACACTTGCCTGCAAATCTAGAGCCTCAAGACCCCATCCCTACATCTGAAGTCCCAAAGCTATTTTGACATAGCAATGTATTTCAGCTCCAGAGGAAATACAACAACAACAAAAACTTTAATCCTATGAAATTATAGGTCATGTTCACAGCAGCCTATGTTTTCAGGTGAAAATGAATTCATATAGGCAGTGAATACAAATAAACTAGGTGCCTCTTCACTTCTCCAGAATCACCACCCTTTCAGGAGTGGCTATTTATTTAAAAACACAGAAGCAAAGTAGCTGCCATACCATTTAAGTACAAACACATTGTTCTGAAGTGTCACACACACGTTGTTCCCTAGTCATACAAGACAAATGTTTTGTATGTATCTGGGGAAAGTGGAATTTGTAGCAGCTACCAATCTCATCCAAAACACCTGAAGCAGTAAGAGATCAAGAATGACAAGAGAAAGTGGGTTCCCTGGCAGGTTGAACAGCACCTTTCCTTTTTTTCATTCATAGTGTATAATAAATACCAAGTAGCATTTAAATTTCTATGATTCAATTAAGCAACTGAGTTGGAGCTGTGAAAAGCCCCCTTCTCTTCTGTACTCTAACTGAGGTGCAAGATTTCACCAGCTTTTAGACCTACACAGCTGGAAAAAATAAATGTGCATTTATTTTCAGAAACACTTTCTGTCTGCATTTTTTTTATATTGCATGCTGAATTGCTAACATAAAACACCGGGTTTTAATAAACATTGAATTCCTATTTAGCTTTAATAGGCTGCTTTTAATTAAAAAATAGTAATAAATTTTGTATTTTATGCATTTATCTTTCTTTAGTAGCATGCATTTCTACAAGTTACAAATTTCAGTCCTATTTGCTATGCTGCAAAGCTATCTAAACCAAGACCACCATAATCCCAGCATTCTCCTAACGGTGGCGCTGAAGCACAGATAAATTACTTTTTGCAAAAAACCAAACTAATAGATACAGGTACAGAGGAGTACACTTTACAGAATAAATACCCAACATACTTGTCAGCACTAAAATTGGCATGTTTAGATCCTTTAGAGTAGCATTTGAATAAAAAAAGTTTCACCTCTATGCCTTCAGCATTTAAGAGTAAGGATTGTATACCAGCAAGATGATTAACGCATATATAAGCAAACTTTTTATAACCCTGATTTTGTTTATGGTACATTGGAACTAACAGTCCTCTGCACCTTGGAGAATAGGACATGGACAGTACCACTTCATGTAATGCTTCTTTCATTACAGAAAGAACTTTCATATCCTAGAAATGTACAACTACAAATAAAGGAACTTTCAAAAAAATTCTTCATGCTCGTATTCCTCACTGGAGAGATCTGACATGGCATAATGAGGATACAAACACATACTAATGAGCATGAACAAAATGCAACCTGCTGCTCTCTTATTAATAACACTTCAAGAACAATCCTAGAAGTGTACAGAAAGAGTTAACTCACTCTTAATTTTTTGCTGGTAATTTACATTATTTAAGGGATCAGCAATGCTTCAGTTAGGCAACACAAGCATCCAGGTATCACAGCTACCTCTGCCACTGAATTCTGCAAGTGCCTTCTTTGTTGAAGTAATTTTCAGTGACTAAGAAATAAAAGAATCCCTTAAATTTACATAGTAATCTGCAGGCAGAAGTTTAACTGAAATACAAGGTGACATTTGACAGCACAAAACCAGAACAGCAACAGAGCAGTGACTGTCAAAAGAGCTACTGTGTTCCTCTTCCAAGTTTCACTCCCACACCTTTAATTTAATTACCAAGGTTTCCTTTTGACACTAGCAATTAAAAAGCCACCTTATTTTGTCAATTTTGCAACCATTAGCATCCTGAGAGGTAGTGTGTCTTCTATCCATGTGTTCGGTGAGTTCATCATCCTCTCCCAAAGGGCAGTTTCATCTGAAGTAGAATCCATCCAGTCTACTGTAGTTCCATAGCTTTTGCCTAAAAAAAATGTCAGTTTTAAGAGAAACATTATTTAATATGCTGCAGAGTTGAGAGCAGACAATCATATTTGCCTGTCTTCTGAAACCGTTTCACCTCCTCAGGTAGCTGACCTAGTACTTTGAAGATCCAGTTCTACATTTTTACACTTGAACAATTCTGTCAAATACAATTAATGACAGTTTCACAGGGAAACTTTGTCATCTTTCTCCAGGCTTTTTTTTCCTTGTTATCCTTAGTCTTTTTGTCACAATCCCAAGGAGAAAGACATATGGGTGATTAACATCTGAGGGGGTTTAAGAATAAAACAGGACACTGATTTTGTACTGAAATACAACCTTGGGCACTCTAAAATTCAAATTGAATTTTATATCCTAATGAATGAAATTAGGATGAATATCCTAATTTGTGTTTTAGGTTATTCTGGTGAACCATGTGAGAAGTTAATTTGGGAAAAGTAATTTTTTTCTTGTATTTGCTTGAAAAGACTCCAAACACATCCTTCCCTCAGGCCAGAGAGGACAATGAGAGGGATAAATATAATGACAAGGAAAACATACAGTTCTTCTACCTGCACAGCTTATATTGCCCTTATACCAAAAACTTGTTTGCATTTGTAATTTTTCCTATCCAATGTTGTCAAATCTTATCATGCATTCCTGATCTATCCTTTTATCTCCACCCAATACTGTCTTTACACCACATCCCTAGTTTTTGCATGTGTAAGTTTGTAAGATGTTATCAAGATTTTGGGTGCAGGAATAGAATATTCTTGTACTTCAAACAGTACCAGATAAATGTATGGCCAGACAAAGGTTTACTTCTAATATTTCTCCTTAGTTGTCAGTCATCCTAACCCTCATAACACTACTACTATTTACATTTCAGCATCTGTGCTGAAGAATAGGTAAGTTACTGAATGAAACTCTTCAGTAAATAAATAACTGAAAGACTGTTCAGTGATCTTTGCAAAAAAAGAAGAAACGGAAAGGAAGAGGAAAAAAGGAAAGAGTGTATTTTGTAAATTAAGGACTAATGTGTTAATTGTCCAGCACCTGTTCCAAGGCCTATCCTAAGACCTCCCAGAAAGTGGTTGGCTAGTTTGTTGTGATCCCAGACTGTAAGTTCTATGCAGGCTTCTTTCAAATCTTCTGGTCTAAAGCCATCATAGACCATGGTGTGGTTGAATACTGGGTTTGTAGTTTTTGCCACCGTTCTTGTTTTCTGGCGACTTTTTCTGCTAGTATCTGGAAGAATGGTACTTCAGAAAGAAAAAGCATTGTCAGTTCGCACTTGCACAGCATAGCCTGCTGAATAGACAAAACCTACTGATTAACACTGTCCTTTGCATGTTAGAATGTGACTGAAGATGCTTCAGCATCATGGAGATGAAGTCAAAGGTCATGTTCTCAGTTCCTCCCAAGAAATACTGGCAGCATGTATCCACCCTTGTGCTTCAGAGGATGGAAGGGAAGGGGAAGTCAGGTGGGGAAGAGGCACAAGTGAGTTTATTTGCTCTATTATCACTAATGACACTGAAACCTTTTTGTTGCTGCCAGAGATTTCCCAACCATCTTGTTATTCTTGTCTCTTTACATTTTTAGTCTGTATGTGGAAAGGAAGGAGGAAGATATACAACTATGCTTCTCACTCCTGTCTCCTCCCACGACTTGCTAAGCTAAACCATACTCTTGCACACACACACTTTGTTTAAATGCAAATAAAAGCAGGCACAATTTTGACTAGCCCTTCCACCAAGTAACTGAGCAGACAAAATGAAAGAGTAGCGATTACGCAGGAAGTTGTCCCAGTGTGTTTTACTTGGTGGTATATACTTTGCATCTTGAAGTTTTAAGCTCTGCAGGATAATTTGCATTACAATAAAGGAGAATCAGAAAGTAATTAGGTGGTTTTTAATTTGAATGTCGAAAAATGAAGATAAGATTAGAAAGCACAACAGTCGTATTATTAGGCCACCATGTTTGATGATTTCAACCACAGTTCTTACCACTTAATAAAAGAGTTGAGCCTGTTGCCTCTTAGAGGAGGAAGGTCATGGCATTCCTTCACCCAGATGTGGACCTCACCAGTAGAGAGAGTCTTCTTTCCTGTAAAAATAAACCAAAACATCTGATTAAGCCTTGTAGACCCCTTTTAAATGGAATTTCTGTGATGCGGCACTTCCTGCCCATTTGTGGAAGTGATATTCGGCCTAGACTCTCATTATCTCACATCTTAATTTAGCATTCCTTTCTGTACTCTTGAAGCTGCAATCTTCATCCCATCAAAATACTGCAAGATCACATCATGTCTGTATTCCTACAACACCTTTTCTTCTGTTACAACTAAACAAATACATACTACTGGTCTTCTCTTTCCAAGCCTCCTAGATAAAGAGATCTGCTTGTCTTCAGTCCATGTGATGCTAGCATTTACTGCTTCTTGTACTTTCAAATAAGCTCCTTTGTGCTCTTAATGTATTTAATTCTTACTGATTGACTGACTGGCTGGATTAAAGACCTGGCTTCACTGTCAGATCAGCCAGTTATCAGTTGCCAGGCAAGATTAAAACAAACAGATCGTACTGCTATAAATTGCTGCATTCTAAATACTTACTGCTGTTTTCTGCTTCTAATAGTGCTTGAATTTAGTGTGTTGTCATTGTTTGTTTAGAAAAATCACAGCACCTGCCTGATGATTGATATTATCTAAAACTGTTAGTGATAAAACAGATTTTTGTTACACATACAGACACATACAGAATCTTACAAATCTAAGATTATAAAAATGAGGTAATTTCTTCTGTAGTAACATTAAAAACAACAAAAGATGGTAAAACAATCTTTGGATCCTAAACTGAATTCATGACCAGGGTGAATTAATCCTCTAAAAAAAACCCCAAAAAACCAAACAAAAAAAAACCCCAAATGTCTGAATTGGCTGAAAAACATTAAACAGCTTTTTTTTTTTTTTTTAAAAAAAAGAACAAAACCCCCAAAGGCCTGACAAAACCAAAGAAAGAAGCAATGCATACCTCCAACAGGGTGTGGGACATACTGGAGGGCTAGTTTCATCTCCCCTCTGTTTTCTGGTTTAAAAGCCATTGTTGAAGTCTGAAATTTAAGAAAAAAACCCAGAAATCTCAAACCTTGCAGTTCACGCACAGAGTTTACCATGCAAAGTTTTCCACTGAAACAGGCCTGACTTCTACATGAGGCAAGATTTTTTTCCTATTTCCCTACCCATTAGTCTTCTGTCAGATTACAGGACATTAGAGATTTTAGGGTATGTTTAACCACTTGACAGTGCCTCAGATACATAGCTCTTCCACTAAAGCAGAAAACAAGACCCAGGAGAGGCCAAAAGGCTTTGAGGGCACATCTTTTCCACTGTTGTGCACTTATTTAAAGAACTAGAACATATGCTTTTTCAATCAGGAAACTTACTCTTTGTGCAACAGAAAGTGCACTTTTATAAACTCATTTCTATAGGAACGTTTTGTCTCATTTAATACAATCTAAAACTCAGCCTCAACAACAGTTATCTTGCAAAAAGGCACAAGAATATGTCACTTCTTCATAGAGAGTCATGGACTATCTGTAGATGGAACATGGCACCTGTTAACATTTGGCTACATTTATCTACCTAGAGCACTTTTAAAATCAGTCGAATTAAACTAGTGCTAAAGACTACCATGACATTCCTGGTTTGTTCTACAAATTATTAAAATTTGGATTGAGCAAATTTTGGAATGAACTAATGAAGTAAATTCAAGGAGAAAAAGAAAAAGGAGAAAAAAAAAAAGATAAAAACAACAAAAGAAACCAGAACCTCTGGCAGTGGCTTAGCTAAAAGTTTAGATTTTGGCTGAAACCCATTAACAAACAACAGGCACACAGACATGGAAGTCATAATTACATCTGATATTAAAATGTTGCTGCACTTGCTCCGTATTCTCAGGAGGTTTACTTCATATTCAGGGAACAAGTGCTTTCAGGTATCTATTGCAGCAACATGATGTAAGTGAAAAATACCTTGAAATTCCTGCTCCTTAGACTATGAGAAAATTTTTCCTACTATAATAGCTAGCTACTTACTAGACTAATAGAAACCTCAGAACTGTATGTTCCATTTACCAGTAAAGAGGTATTTATGATTATAACCAACACAAAAGCCACAGAACACACAAGACCAGGCCTAAAAAAATAATGACTTGGTTTTGCACTTACACAGCAGAAGACACAAAACAGCTAACCCACCCCTAGTAACCTACCCTTGGCTTGAGTGGAAACCAATTCATCTGCTTGTTGGATTTATCATTCCAGTCCCAAGTTCCTAAATCCAGCTCCACTTCACCAAGGAAGCTATTCCTCCCAAAGGTATCATTGTGCCAGACAGAGATATTAAGGGTTTGGTTCTTTAGGAGACCCTTCTCAATTTTATACTGTGAGGAAGAAGAAATGAGAAAAAAAATTAAAACAAGCTGGATGTTTATCAATGCTGTGTCTGAAAGTGACAAGGTTCGAAAAAAAGCGTGTCTGAGTTTATACATTCGTAACTGCTCACTTCATTTCAGAACAAAACTCTCTTCATGTTTTACTTTTTATTTCAAGCATCTTAAGCTCATAGTTGGCTTGTGTTTGTCTGCAATAAGTATACAACAATCAGGTTTCTCAATGCTGTATCCAGAGTACACTGTAAAGTTAACCCACCAATGGAAGGACATAGGTACTTCTACAGAGCAATCCATCTCATCCTAACGTCTCTTCCGAGAGCATCTAGACCTGTGCCTAAAAGTTAAGATTCCTCATACTTCACGCATGCAGTATTTCATGTCTAGTAATAGTTTGACAAATACCCGCAGTATTTCATTATAGACTGGATTAAAAGTTTTCTTTTTGACAGAGGTCTTCCGTTTGCCCAGCTTGTATTTCTCTGGAAGCAGGTAGGTCTTTACATACCTAAAATTTAGACAGGCTTGTTAGAAGAGCAAAGAACCCACCCTTTCCAACTTCCCCTTCCAAAATACACAAGTATTTGCTTATAAAGTAAAAGAAATCCACTTAATTAGCCATTATGTTACATTGTTATATTTAAGAAAAGGAACAGCAGTGATGAAGTACTGTAACAGTTTCCAAAGTGGGACATTAACCTCCTTCTACCAGGGGGAAATCTGTTGAAATGTCTTCTCAACACATACAGAATATATAACTATAGTATGCCTAGATACCAGGTTTATAGGCTCTAATCCTATTGAAAACTTATCAAATCAGGATTTACCATCTGGAAAGTTGAATTTTAAAAGAGAATGTAATTTTCTTAGAAGTTTGACCTTCCTATGTTAATACATGTACTGATTTATAATGGTGATTCTACATTCAGTTCAGAGTGGAAAACCACGTAAAGCATGTTATAGCCTCTTCATTTATTTATTGGGTTGTTTACCCCAACAGGTTATAGAAACGGGAAAAAACCATCAGTTTTCATTTTCACATTAAAAGAAAAACTTCCATTCAGAAATAAATATATTCTCTGTACTTACGGGTCTGAACGCTGTCGCTTAACATCTGCCATTGCCAAGTCTTTACACTGGCAGATAAAAATGTGGAGCTCATTCAGCTGTTCTACATAATCAATAGCAAACTGAATGTTCCCCTTCACATCAACATCGCCGAAGTCTGCACTATAAATGCTCATTAGACTTCCACTCACCTGTATCATACAAGAGGAGAAAAATTTTCCAGTCATTGCATTTCACCAGATACTTCAAGATTAGGGTAGAAGTTATGCTCAGAATTCAGACAGTAAAGAAATCAACTGTGTCCTTTTAGATGTAATAACAAAATGTAACAGACACTGTTATACAAGCTTCTCAGCAAGCAGATTAACAAAAGAAAGTTGTTTGTAAATCAAAGGTGCTAGGCCAAGTTTTCTACAAAAGAATTTGAATGGGTGTATTGCATTGAGATAGAAGAAATAAAAAGATAGGATGCTGTAGATCTGGAGATTGCCTGTGATCAGATCCTTGAAATATTACTTATATATCTCTTCAGCTGCTCTTCCTTGCAGAAAGCAGAGCCTAACAGTTTAGGACAACAGGCCTTCTGAAAATACCAACAAAAAGATTAGCGATAAAAGTCTGTATGGCTGAATTATGTACTTAAATAAAACACCAAAAATTAAACACTACATACGTAGAAAGAGAAGGACGTACAATCTTTTTTAAATCTCAATATCCTTCCCCAAAATTCTACTTTTCCCATTAAGTCCACATAAACTAATGACTTTTGGTCAGCCAGTTCACTGACTTAGTTACGCACCCCACATACCAATACTGTCTCTTGCTTTCACTTACTTCTCCCCCCTTCTCCTTTTCTAAATGTTTGTTCTATATAAATGGTCCCTCATTTCCAGCTACAAATGTAAGCTTAGAGTAAAAGCCATCTCTTTGCTCAGTGTTTATAGAGTATGCTGCACAGTGGAAACTTGAACAGGCTCCAATATATTACTAGAAAGTAAAAAAAAGTAAAACCAATTCTATCATATTTGTTTTAGGCAATTCCATGCAAGGGTTCACATAACAGAGAGGGAAGGAAGGACACAGAGATGCCAAGGGAATAAAGATAAGAGGAATAAGAAGGGAACCAAAACAATACTGGAGAGATTAGCAAAAGCAAAGTGCCATTAAAACAAGGCTTTGGTTTACATACAGAGGATAAGGAGGCCATGCCAGAAGAGCCGCTAAGCGTGGTTAGAGAGCTGGGACTCTTCTTGATTCTGCCAAGGGAATAACTGCTTTCTGATGCTGTATCTGTCTCTCTGTTATCACTCTACAAAAACATCACAGAAAGAAAGTCTGTGTAGGTTCTTTATAGTCACAAGGAACATTAAAAAAGAAAAAACAAACAGAATTTTAATGCAGACTGAGACTCAGTGAAAACCTGAATTTAAATCCCCTTGTAATTAATATTTCTTGAATTAGGTCATGCACTTAAAAAAAAGTTGAAAGGGAATTTTTCTGATGGAAAGCCTACACTGAAAATTTTTTAAAGTAGTAACGCAACCAGGTTTGGTTTTTGGTTTTAAATCTCAAATAGCAATGAAAAAGTACAAAGTTAACTTTATTGGGACAACTAAACTCAACTTCTCTACTTCACTATCTCATGTAAGGGGTAGTGCTCAGGTTTCTTACCAGTCCCTTTTTGTTACATAGCAAATACTATCAATTCTGTACCCTCTATTTTGAAGGCAGCTAGCTGGAAGGTAACATGCAGAGTAGAACACCACCGGATACAGTGCATGGCTTTTGCGAAAAGCCTTTCTTGCAAGAGGGCAAGCATGGCCCTGCTTTTCCATCAGGGAACTGCAGTTTTGGTTTACTTGGTCATTATCAGGTCATGTGCTTACAAGCCCGTTCTGTCTCAATGCTATCACGGTACTAAATACACAATGCTTCACTTCCCACATGTGCCTTGGCATCTTCCTGTGCAAGCTGTTACAGAAAGCATCATCTCCCTGTTGTATTCCATCCATGAACAATTGACAAGCCTTTCCCCACTCCCTTACACAGTTTTGAACTGCTGTCATAGATCTTCTACTAACAGGTGCAAGCTGAGTAAACAACAATTTCTACACACATTAAGAAATAAATATCTAGCATATAATCATTTTGAATAAGTCTTTATACAGATCCGTTGACTGTAGCTTCTCTGGCTACGTCTATACTACTAAGTAAAAGCAGGCCAGGACTGTTCCCCAGTTCAGAGGCCAAAGGTAAAGACTGACTCATGTCCATCCTACCTAGGGGAAGGCTCCTCGAGAGAAATATTGTTTTGGAGAGAGTTACTCAGGACTGTCCAAAAGAAATCCAGGGAGTGAAGTAACAGTTAAGCAGTGTGGATAATCCGTCCTGTTACATGGGCTCTTTGAAAGACAGGAAAATCCTAAGCCCTCTGATAGAGGAAGGATATATGGCTTCCCTAAGACCATTTTAGCTGCTGTCCACACAGCGGGTCAGCAGAAGACATACAGGACTGAATCCAGTTCTGCTTACTTTCAACCCTGTACTTCTCATGGAGGTTTGTGGAATGTCTGGAAGTTCAGAGACAAGGAATTACTAAGCACTGGGGTGACTGCATGCCTCCAGAATGCATTACACTTGTGATGATTTATTTTTTTAAAAGTTAATTCCAAATGTTAAATAAGGATATTGTTACTATCCACAAGTAAAGAACCCTTAATTTTTAGGCTATTCTCTTTTAACCAGAAGGAAAACACACTGGTACTCTAAGAGACAGACTTCTTTGTATTTCTTCTTGAATTAGAAAGTATGTTATTATCAGAATTCATTATTTTTAAAATAATTCCAGAACTGAACTAGTACATAGAAATGAGTGTTAATACTACTGTGACTACATTGTGTCTACAATGCTTATTCCTAACCTGTTACTTCTACCAGGTTTATGTTATCCATTCATTAGTTTCATGCTTCATATTGGCCAGATGGTACTTCAGTGATTATAAACTCCAAGGCAGAACCAGCATGTGGTACACATACATGCTATTTCTATAGCTATACACTCTGTTTTTTACATATATATATATATATATATACAGACACCCCTATATGTTTGTGTGTGCATGGCATGCATATGACTTGTATGTGCTGTGCTGTGAGCTTGAACTAAAGACAGTATTGGGACTAATCACAATTTTAAAAATAAATTGGGGGGGGGCAGAATAAACAGATTTAGGTGCTGACAATTTCTTAGAATATCACTATGAACTATCCCCAAACCCTTTCTACTCTGATCAGATTGATTACGTATAGTCCTTTGGCTTTCAAGTATTTGTCAGACTGTTCCATTCAAAACCCACGAGTAAGCTTTTTACCTGGCTTCTTACAGAGGCTGTAACTGGTTGTTTTTAGATGCCCAGATACTCATTTCAGACTTGTTTGGTATCCCAACTCCAATGGTTTGAAATGCTAATCTTTTGATCCATCCATGGTGCAATGTTAACAGCCTTAGAAAAGTTTCCTCTGCATTCTTCTCAGCAGAAGGGGCATTAGGATGGTGTAATTTTAGAGAATCTTTAACCAAAGACGTGTAATTCATAGACACTGAATGGTTTTAAGTTCTGCACTTAAGGTAAGATTAATCAAACCTGTATCACGTTTTGGTTATTTCAGACTTTAGGAGGAAGTAGGGTAAGACAGGGCACAGCATATTCCTGTTTCTGACTCTTCAGTCCTTTTAGACATGTGTTTTTAGAAAAATAATCCAAAATATTGATGTTTATGCTGTAGTTATAGTGATAAGGGCTAGGGTAAGCAGCAATTCCTCATTTTATAACACAGACGCAGGTATTTTTGTGATATCTATGCCCCAAATTCCTGTGTCCCATTTACAACTGGGTCCACTAATGCACATCCTTCATTGACAGGACTCAGGTGTTTCTACCACCATTTGCTAGCAGCTTGGGGGAGGGGGAGTTTTGCATGCACATTTGCCATACAAATTCACATTCACACTATGGCACTCAAAAAAAAGAAAAAAGAAAAAAAAAAAACAATCTAGCATGTTATCCAAGTTCAATAATGATGAGGTATTTCCTATTCTCTAGAGCTGCCTGTTCCCTGTGACCAATGTAGCTACCTCTTTTAGGCATTTATGGTAGGAGGTTCATCCTTGGTCTAAACACAGGCTCCACTCCTCTCTTTACTGACTGTTTGGGGAGTCATAGACCAGGCAGTTCAAATCCCTTATTGCTTTCAAACTTTGGTGTCATTTTAGGAGATTTGAATACGGCCTCAGAGCTTATACGAAGGCCCACACCACGATGGTGATGACGACAACAATAATAATAGACTTGCAGAGGCACAGTATGTTGTCGGAAGTTCTGAAAGTTCACTTACAAGGAGTTAACAGCCTGGTACCTGAACCTACATCCCCAAGCAGAATACCAAGCTAATACCCATGTGAGAAGGGTTACCAGATGGTGACTTTCTTATGGTCTTACACGCTCATTTTAGATTTTAGGCTCTGAAGAAAATAAATGTATGCACGTACGTATGTTCTAAAGAGCAAACAGGACCTGTTAGTTTAAGGATAGAGACTGCCTTTGGGAATAACAGCAAGCATTCACTATGCTTCAATCTCCTAGATAAAACATGCTCTGTATGTTGAGCTGTACAGTAGAATAAACCACTAGTTACTGGACTAAAGTTTCTGAAAGGTTAATTAGTCACAGATTGTTCAGGATCACCTCCTGATTGTTACACCACAACCTCAATTCCATGCCATGGTCCAACAGTAAACTAGCTTAGCAGACCTTGGAAAGCACTACTTGACAAACACAAAATGCCACAGTAATCAAAAGGTTTAGGTAGGATATTTCAGAGATGGAACGTACCTCTTCTTGTAGGAATGATGGTACTGACTTGCTCAGTCCTTTGAGTTTTTCAGGATTGGAAAACGGCTTATCAGGCTGTGAAGGCACTGTGGAAACTGAAGAGCAGCAATTCAAAAGGCTTCAAAAATACATTTGTACATCAAAACAGTGAAATTCCGTAAGAGGACATGGTTAGAAACAAGCAACTTCGATGAAATACATGCACGTGCACAACCAGCTTACAACTTGGATGCAAGATTTCCTGCCTGTCGCCCCCCCATATAGGACCCAGAGAAGCTATCATTAGGAAGGATAGTCCACTTTGACATCTCCTATAACACTGACCAAAGAACTTTGTCTGGCAGGAGCAAAAATGTTTATGTTGCTGACATGACATACAAGCCTGGGTGCTGCAAGCAAATTCTGATCAAATGTGATGAAGAAAACATTTTCATTTTTACCTGCTAGACTTTCTTCCCAGAGCAAGGATAAGTGCACTTATGCAGTAACCACACCATCATTGACATTAGAGTCATCATAAGGATCTTGGTAAGAAGTACAAGCCAAACTCTGTTCTTTTATTTACTCAGCCTAATTAATTGCAATAAGAACATTTATGTAAATCAAGCAATTTTTAGACCTGAACAAGGAAGTTTCAACTATTCCTAGTTAATTATAAGATGCATATCTCATTAATGATGCACTTTTTTGCAGCTCATCTCTCCCACTTTTGTATACCTCTACTGAAGTTCAGTTCTATGCTCTATACAAAGCTTAATTGCACAAGCTAGCCTTGCAAAAATCCAGTTTGCAGTAAGCCCACAATTATGCTCTAACCATACTTATATTTAATAATGCACTAAAGCTCTATATCTTTGGACTGGATACACATTGTGAAATGCTCCAGTACTGAATAACGTATGACAGAATTACTTGGCAACAAACAGCCAGCTACAGGGGCACATTATCTATTGCATAAAATGAAACACTGCATACAACGGGATTGTTTGCAAGGCATGGGTTAAGCTTTTGCAAAGCTTTTGCTGTTGAAGCTCAAATAGTGCTCCACGTATCGGTTATTGTCAGTATGCAGTTAGATGAAGTATTCCCATTGAGCAAGTATCTAGTCCAGATGTATAACTTGTTAGTTGTTAAATAAAAAAAGGATATTTAAAGTATTAGTTTAAATATCAGTGGAGAAGTCACTCCATTGTCTGCTGGAAGAATCCTGTTACTCACTTCCTGCTGTATTTTCATTCCTCTCTTGATGCTGATCAGGTTTCAGACCTGCTCAGTGCAGTATTGACAACAGTCACTCAGTAGCACAAACAGCTTTGCAATGTTATAAATAGCACCAATATATATTTTATATGTGGGAAGTTTTTGACTTCCCCAGACCCCATGTAGTTCTGTGTTTTGCATCGCTGTCCTCCTTTGAGGAGCTGGATGATAACAAAGGTAACATGAGTGTATAAGCTAGGCAAAGCAAAAAGATGAATAGTATTTTCAAAAGAACTTGCCTTATTCTGTCTGTACAGCTATCAGTTTGGCTGTTTGTCTTTTCTTTAAAAAAAAAAAACAAACCAAACCTTCATTCTTAATAAATGTAACTCAAACACCCCCCACCCTTTTCAGGTAAGTGTCTACACATTCCATACTGAATGTAAAACATGCTTTCAGTAGGGGTCTCCATTTGAAAACAAAGTACTTAAGTCTTGTTAATTTACTGGACATTGCATGCATCCTATTACGCTATGATCATTCTATTTATACTATAGGCCACTAACATGCAAAATGCTTTAAAGCTTCTAAAACATGACAATAAATGCAACTGCGCACAAATATTTTTTAAAACCGTAGTGCTCCAATGCAGCAAATAAAAGAATTGTGTGTTATATTCCAGCATAGTCAGTGTTCATCTTGACATGTTCCTGGAGCAGGTTTGCTTTTATTTTGCTTAGATTTGGAATTTCTAAAGGTATATAGAAAAATTTAACAGTAAGGCATCTGTAATGCACTAATGGACTGATAACGTCAACAGTAGCTGATCTAGTAGCAGTTCATCTATTGCTTAGAGTAATTCTACTTTGCTGGATTGAGACAGGGATTGTAAGAGATGTTCCTTTTCAACTGATGTATTCTGAAGTGTGTTTTGCACTAGCAAAGTCATCTTGCATCTTGTAAAACAACACATTAACAGAAAAATTCAATATTTACTCAGGCCAAGCCTTTCAACTGAGCTGATGTTCAAAGCTCTCAATGATTTCAGTAACTGTTTCATAGGCTAAATGACCAAAGGCCAAAATAACACACTGACAGGTGGCACAGAGTTTCTGCAGATATAGCAGGACACAACATAGGTATATTCCTTAAGAATAAAACAATGCAACAAAATTCTACAAAAGCATTTCAGTCATGTTGAAGTTAATCAAATCTAAAAGCGCAATACAATTCTTGGCTTAAAAAAGTCCTTCACTAGCAAACAGAGGCCATTGAAAAAACAATAAACTTCCATGCAGACACAAAAGATATTTACCATCTTCAGCACTAAGAGCTAATTCTTCCTTTGGATTATTTATTTTTCCTTTATCTGTGCAGGAAAAAAGTAACACAGAAATTTTGCTGTTCAGTATGATAAAATGGATGACAGTGGTACTCACAGAATTAAAAGTAAAGAGGACAAAAAAACAAATAAACCAGCAGAGCCATGGGAATGGTTAAATTCAAGATATGCTTTCTACTTCACACACTACTTCAAGCCTACATCCAAGCAGCAGTCTCATGTTGACACAGTTTCTATCAGTGTGCTGTTGCAACAATGTTAGTGCATACCTAAAACCTAGAAACTCGTTAGAAGCAAGCAATAGCATAAGTAGTATTAGAACAGTAATTTGCCAACAATAGCCAACATCTTTCAAAATCTACACCTCCACACTTCCATTTAGAAATGTAAGTTCAGTTTATGTCTTCCCCATTAGACACGAGATAACCATTAGACGTGAGACAAGCATGAAAACTCAGGGGCAGGGTGAAGTGAGACAGGAATAATAATTTAAAAAAAAAAATCCTAAGAGGCTACAGAGGGAAGTCAGGAATGAATTTTAAGTACAATCTTGTCTCACTGTATTCTCTTAAAGTGAGTTTGGTATATTAACTGCTAGAACACACAGGTGAAACACTACTAAACTAAGATGATTTCTTCATACTTCCACTGTCTACTAATTTGACCCAAGCAAGCAGCCAGGAGACAATGGCGGTTGCTGCTCATTACTGATTTGGGTGGTTGCCAATACTTTCACTATTGAAAAACTATCCAAGAAACAGTTCATCACTGATTAACATAGCGCATTTTTGGAAGATGTCTGCTTCACAGACCAGAGTTGTTTCAAAATTAACACAAAGAACTGAAAACTAAAACGTATGAGAAAAGAATTCAGTTCTACAGTACAAGCTCCATATGGCTTATTGAGAAACAAAGACAAAAACACTACTTGGCAAAGCTGTATGGAAGACCAGCATGAACACATTTAAGCCAAACTGGGGGTCATGGGAGACACACACAAGCTTTGTGCTCACTTGAGGTGGCTGATGAAATGTCCTCTAGACTTTTGGAAGCCATTTTCCTATCTGCACTCCTTTTCAAAGCCATCAAAACAGGGTTTAATTCTTCTTCTGAACCTGTTACGAGACAAAACACATGAACACTGCACACACAGACATGCCATTTTAAGCAAGTCACTAAAAAACCGGCCATGGATTTCTCATAAGAATCTATTTTGACTGTTAGCAAAGACAGTGAACATTCAATGAAAACACAAAATAAATCCAAAATAAACAAAACAAATGCCTAATTTTAAATGTCCATTTGCTCTAAGTTCTCTCAGCCATCAGGGGAGAGAGGCAGGTTGGCTGATTTGCCTGTGTAGTTATCTCTGTCTATACTGACTAATAAGGGGGGCTCAGGCAATTATGGCACTTAACTGTCTAAGAACAATATAGGATAAACTCAGACATAAGCCATTTTGTAACCATCTTGTTATGAATCAGCACGAAAAAGTTAACAGCTTTAGTTTTTTCCTCTGTGTAAATTTGCCCCTTATATTTATTCCCCAGTGAAAGTAATTCTGTTTCAATACTTGAGTAACAACCACAAAAAAAAAAAAACCAAAAAAACCAAACAGCTGTAGATATTTGGATCCCTGAAATTATGCAGTTGCCTCCAAGGGCAGAATCAAGACAGACCTAGATCCTTCAGAAACCTTTAAGACCTTCTCTCCTCCCTCCCTTACTTTCCCCTCCATTAGCCAACCAACCAGACCTTACAGTGTTGCTGCCTGTAATTATGGGTAAAAAAAAAATAATTATGTTTCATTTTTCCTCATTTGTTCCGAGTTTTCACTGACTTCCATTGGAATCTCACTTTCAAAATAGGCTCAAGAGTAAATTGGCAGGCCCTGGAAACTTCACAAATTTCTCAGATTCTCCAGGTGAAGAAGACATCCCCAGTCTCTCAGGAACAGATAATTTAACCTTTTTAATCTCCTCTACCTTAAGCTCTTTGATGACTAATCACATTCTATACATTGACTAGAGCTGCCATTCAACCAATTAATAAGAATCCTTGTAAATAGACCATTTCATTTATATGGCCACTTTCTAGTGCAACAGGCAGCAATGCTAAATGAAATAGCACAGAGTATTGGTTTTGTCTTTATATCCAGCCATTCCACTCATAAACATTTACCTTTGAAGACTAGCTGGTCAAACTAAAGAATGAACTCAGTCAGCCACTGATATTTTTTTTTCCTCTTTTAATCCAGGATATTTAAAAGAAATACCAGATTTTGAGTGTTACAATGTTATTAATTTGAAGGAGATATCACAGGGGAGGAAGAAAAGGGTAAATCATGAAGACTGATATGATTGATTCATGCTGCTAAACTCCCCTTATTGAAGGGGCTTACCCAGATGTAGTATGTTTTTGTCAAACACTTCCCAATTAAAGGACTTAATTAGTTCTTCCCATCTTTCCCAAACAAATATCCAAAGCATTCAATTAAGAAATAAGCATAACGCAGACTTTTGGTTAACATATTTCTAGTTGGCTACCAAAAGAAATTGTAGCCATGTTTAACAACCCAGCACCATGAATTTTAGAAATCAAACAGCTCACAAGTTGAACTTCTGGTTCCAGAGTAGGACTCAGAATTTTCATCTGAAAACTTGGATCCCAAATTTGAGCTGTCCCCTTCCTCTTCATCATTATCCTCATGCTGAGACCTTAGGCAGAGTTGAGCTCCTCCTGCCTGGGGGGAGATGCTCTCATCTTTAAGTGGTGTGCTTGCTCTTCTGAATTTCAACAGTGCTTTAAATTCTGAATTCTTTTCAGAGGCATCCAAGGATGTGCTTTCATCTCTCCTTCCTTTTTCATTTATCTTCAATGGCTCGATTGCAATCATATTGGTCTCTCCTTCCAAGGGAAGAAGATCAACTGGAGCCATGCTTCTCTTTTCTGTTTTATTAATAGCTCCATTTCTTCTAGGAAGATCAGAAGCTTCAGTTTCATTTACTGCAAGATCATTTACTGAAGCTTTGATATTTTGTTCTGGAGCCCGCCCTTTGACAGCTATCTTCATCTGTGTATGATAGCTACTTAAAGCACTATATGGCTGTGACACTGTCATGAATAGAGTCTCTTTTTGTGATGGAAATGTATGATTCCCAAACTTTTCTGGTTTATGTAACTCTTTGGATATTGGAGATGAAGTTTCAGATGCTTCTTGAAGAAGCTGTTCTAAAGAGCTACTGAATTCACTGAATTTTGCAATATTTGAAACAGAAGTTTTTTCTATTGTTTCTTGTATTCCTTGAGGAGGATCTCTCTCTTGTTGATGTGGAGCATGCAGACTTTGACTAGTCTGTATTTTACTTTGTATTTTCTTATCCATATTTTCCACCACAGAAGCTGGTGTTTCAGAGATCTTCTTTGGTAGCTTCAGCAAATTAACATCAGATACTTCATATTCAGCCTTGGACAGTACAGATCTTTCTATGGTCTCACTTATCTCCTGTGGCAACTCTCCATCATGCTCATAGGTTGTGCTTTTAGCTTCCACCTCAGCAGGCCTCCATACTGTGCTGTCAGCACATTTTGGTTTAGGAGGTGGCGTTTCAGAGGCCTCTTCCAACAGCTTCTCTAAAGCAGAACTCAAGCCACTGACCTTGGATGGAGCAACAGACTTTTCTATGGTCTCACTGATTTCCTGTGGCAACTCTCCATCATGCTCATAGGTTGTGCTTTTAACTTCCACCTCAGCAGTTCTCTGTACTGTGCTAATGGCACGTTTCGGTTTAGGAGGTGGTGTTTCGGAGGCTTCCTTCATCAGCTTCTCTAAAGCAGAATTCAAGCTGCTGACCTTGGATGGGGCAACAGACTTTTCTGCGGTCTCATTGACTTCTTCAGGCTGACCAGTATCTTCTTGGCATGTTGATTCTATACTACAATTAGTTTGTGATATACTATTCATGTCATCGGATGTTTGCATTCCCATCCTTGTATATTCAGAAGGTTGATACGCAAAGGTTTCTCTGAGCAGGTTCTGCAAACCAGCTTGAGGCCTCTGAGAACCCTCAAGATTATCATCCTTGTCTGCTGCCTGATGTTGTAGACAGAAAGGTTCAAATTCCCTAAACAGTTTCCTGAGGCCTTTTTTGTTTTCATGCTCATCTGTTGATGTCACACTCATTTTTCCTGTGCTTTTGCTTATTTCTTCTTTTTGATCAGCAGGAGAAACGTCATGGCTCTGTTCCACTGTTCTTTCAAAGACCCTGCACTGATCTGGCTCTTTCAAAATGTTTTCTTTTAGGTTCAAGCTAGATGACATCTCAGAGGCTTCCTTTTCTACCTTCTTTAGGCCTAATTTGAATACATCAAGCTCAGCTTTAGGTAAAGCAACCTTATCCACAGTCTCTGCAGTTTCCTCTTTAGGGAGACTGACATCTAATGGAGTAGTCTTGTTCTCCACTTTTTCTATAGGTAAACATAGACAATCATCTACTGCTGTCTCCTTTAAAGCATCTTTATCACCAGGTGACTGGAGAAACTGCAAGGAAACATGATGTTCTTTTGATGAAACAATACTTTTTTCTATAGATTCTTTAACTTCTTGCTCTGGAAGAACCATCTTTTCCTGGGGTTTTGAGATAACTCTTTTTCCTTCCAGCTGGACAGAGCATGTATTTTTTGCGTGTGCCACATTCAGACCTTCCAGGGTAGGTGATCCTGGAGGCAGTTCACATACCATAGAATCTAATTTCTGTGTTTTTTCTCTCTCAGATGTTTGGATTTGTTGTTGAATTAACTCTTGCTTGCTTATATTATCTCTGCCTTTATCTTCCCTTGACTTTCTTTCATAAGTTATTGAACTAGTATTTGGCAAAGAAATATCTCCCCTATCCATGCTATTCTGTAATTTAACTCCAGTATCCCAGAAGTTTCTCAAACTCTGGAACTGTGAAGGATCTGAAATTTGATTCTTGAATTTTTCATTCAGTTTTTCTTTTAAAGACAAAACCTGGAACCTGGGCTTCTGCTGGGAAGAAGTAACAACTTTTCCTTTAAGTGTTTCTTTCTCACCTTTGTCTTTGCTTTCTAGGGAAGCTGAAGTGGCACCAACTCTTGGCTGCAAGTTACTGGCTTTTGGCAATTCTGTATATTCATGAACTTTACCATCAGATGGAAGTATTCTTTCTACTTTTTCAACTGCATGGCCTGGTCCAAACTCAGAAGAGTTTTGATGTTCACTTCTTGAAGCCTGGCTTGCACAACTTACTTCAACACTTCTTAAAATATTCTTGCTTTGATCATCCAATTCATTAGGTAGGTACACCGCAGTTGGTTTTATTTTGTCACTTTCTCTGAGACTTTTCAGAGCACTGCCACCTGATACATTAGTATTGATATTAACTTCATTCTCTCCATGACTGGGGATAGTTTTATCCCTTTCCCAGAATGCTCTGATCTCCTTTATTCTTCTTTTTTCTCGTATTGCCTTCTCTGATTCACATTTCTGAAGTGGTAGCTTGTGTTCTTGATTTTCCAATAAATTTGATTTTTTATTTTGTTGCTTGATTTCCTGACCATGTTCTCTTTCTTCAACTCTTGAACAGTCAAATTCAGTTAGTGATTTGTCATTTTGCTCCTCATTCTCTTCCCCTTTCACCCTCTCTTTTATCAGCTGTGTATCTTCTGAAATAAATGATGTAGGTGAAATACTATTCCATTGTTTAATCTTTCCAAAGGATAACTCTTTTGTAACTTTCGTTTTTCCATCCATGCTAAGCCCACTGTGTTCTGTAGGAAGAACTGCTTTTCTGGATGAGAAGTCCACTTCCTCTTTGGGTTCCCAGCCTTGGGATCTGGCTGATACATGTTTCTTATCTTCAGTACCAGACCTTCTTTTAATCCAATCTAAAACTTTTGATACAGATTCATCAGCCACTTTCATGAGTTCATCAGCATGTTTTTCAGGCTTGAAAGTGATTTTAACATCTTGCTCCTCAACAAGATCAGGCTTACCTTGTTGAAGACTTGTAGAATTGGTATTCAACACCTCATGTGCTTCTGTCTTAGCAGAAAGCTGATGTTCATCTACAACGTAAACAAACTTATCAGACTTAGGAATCAGACACACAACTCTACAAATGTCTGATCTGTCTTGAAAAATCTCTCTGTTGTTTTTTTTTTTTTAATTATTAGCAGAGAAAAGTGTTCTCTGTCCTTGTGTTTTTGGAAAGAACCATACTGCAGGCAATAGAGTGAAAAATAAATTCCTGCACTTAGATATCCTACTGGAAGTTTAATCACATTACTTTTAAGGGTGCGAGCAGATAAGATTAGTTATCCCCATTGTAAAGGAAATGGCTACATTGAAGAGAGGGCCAGGCAGGGGGGACAACCCAGCATATTTGTGTTTAGTTCCATGAACAAATCCCAAAGTCACAATTTGATTACTACCAAGGACAGTCGACAGCAGTACACCAAAAATTCTAATCCTTCAGTTCCTGTGCAGACAGATTTACCAGGCCTTATGACAGGAATTTTATCCAAATACCATCACTTCACCTTCATCATCCGCAATAAAGGTGCCTATCCAGGCTCTGATCTGATTGTTAATTCTTAAGAATACCTATAGAAGATCACCTAAAAAACATTGACCACATTGCAGCATTAAAATACAAAAAAGTGATTTAGAATCTAATTCTGCACTATGTAGCACATTCCTACTATTTCTGTTTCCTAGTTGTTAATTCTTAGATACAAGTGATTCAAACATTAATAAATATGTGCTATATGCTATTGCATTCTGTTCTTCACCCCCATTAGTCTCTTACCAGTAAAATTTTTGTGTGACTTTGATTCATGGCTCAGGACCTGGTTGGATTTATTTTCACGTGTCTCATCAAGACTCAGTTCATTATTGCTATTTGGCAGGATATTGCTGGAAGCCTTCTGTGGAGTTTCAAGTTTCTTAGGAGTAACTGTTTTTGTCTGCAAGGTTTCATTAACCAGGAAGACTGACCTATTAGTGTCACAAGGGCCAGATGCCAATGTATCTTCTTGTAAGCCATCTATTGTTTTTATTTGTGAAGCTGATGAACAGGTTCCCAAAGGCTTTACAGCAGAAATTTGCTTATTCCCAGATGAATCTGATCTAATAGCATCATTTCCACTACTCTCTGTTTCATCAGATTCTAACAAATCAAACTGTTCTGTTTCCCTATGATGGTGTAGCTGTGGGCTTTGCAGAGGTTCTCCTTTACCTGTGCTAGATGAGAACCTCACTTGTTTTAGTTTTTCCAGTGAAATTTGTGTGGAGTCTTCCGCTTCTTCAGTAAAAGAGTTCTTCTCAGCTTCTCCTTCAAAAATAGTTGCAGTAGGAAGACCATTCTTTTTCTGAACATCTAACATCTGACTAACACGAACTTCTGAGTCAGTGGAACTTGAACTTGAACTGCGCTTCAGAATGCCCCTGGGTGGGTTACCAATGCCATTAATCCTCTCAGTCTGTTTGGCTGGTTTTGGAACAAAGTCTTCTCTTTGTGACACAGGATCTGTTGCTTTGTGAATTAATTTTCTAGCTTTGGGGACTGGACGCTTAACTAGTCCCTTCTGTGATTCATCGGTTGGTTCTACAGAAGGCATCTTATGTTTCTCTGATTCATCATTTTCTAAGTTTGGTTGAGGTTGGCTCTCTTCAGAGAGTGACAAAATTTCTGTAAGACATATATAGAGAAGAAATCATGAGGTTACATGACATTCATCTGCAGAAACAGAGGACTGTGACACAGTGCAGATCTAGAATGCAGTGATTATATTGGTTTATTAAAAACATCTGCAGTAAAACACAGGCAGAAATTCAATAAAGGTGTTGATTTCATTTGTATGTAACAGGAATTTTTAGCAGATTAAAATCCTGCAGTTATTTCTTATTCTAGAAATATTAACTATTTGATGATTCCAAAGATAGAGAGCACATCAAATTTTTGATCAGCTTTATTCCTGCAAGGGACAAAGTTTGCAGGGAAGGGCAGCTTTTGAACACACATACACCTCTTCAGGTTCAGAACATAAACAGCAACCTGCAGAAATGCAAACAGGCCATTTCCACATTCATATGGAACAAGGTAAAATGCAGAAATGATCTCCTGGTAGGGAGATGAAATTTTTTTTTATTCCTAATGTGGAAGTCTTTCTTTTTCCTGTTAGCAAGCTTCATAACAGAGACAGGAGAGTAATTTCCACGTATGAGCCTGTAAATTACAACTTCAAATGCCTGTATTGTGATGTATCATCACTCATCTTCTTGCCTGCAGAGAATACTGCAGGAAAGGGAGGATTTGAAAATAAACAGGACTGAGAAAACAAAGGAAAAAAATAAAGATCAAAGAGTTAGGCTTATCTTGAGCCAATAGCAGCAATGACTGGAAGGTCATAAAGACAGCTATGCCAAATTCAAGGAAATTCCTCTGTTCTCTTAACAGCAATTCAGGACAAACAGCCCTCTCACATGAAGTGCTTAATACTGACTAGAACTGTGAGTAAAAGGAAAGGAAGCAAAACCCATTTACTCACATAAACAGCCATTTCCTGAGTATATTCACATTTTACATGGGGTTTGCAATGAACTAGTTGATAACTCCAAGTAGTTAAGATAAAACAGGTTTTGATATCTTACAAAAAGAAGCAATGAAAGTAAAAATAATTTCCATATAAACCCCCAAGAAATTCACAGTCATATGCTAAATAAGTATATTTACCCTCCTTTGATAGCTGACGTAGAGTGGCTGGTCTGTTTTCTGATTCCCCACTGTTCAAGTTATCACCTGATGCAGTGGAATTAAATGGATTTCTCCTTTGCTAAAAAAAAAAAAAAAAAAGGAATGAACATTATAATTGCAGTCAAATTGTTAAATCAGTACAGTCTTCACAAAATAAATGAAAGTGTAGTGATTTCCTCTGCCTCACTACCCTGTCAAAGAGTCTGAAAGCATGCTTCTTAAATTGGATACATGACAAAAACCCTAAACAATATGACCCAGGGAACTATCAAAAGTGCTAGTGAAAGCCTCATCTTGTTCTTTTTGAAGTCACCAACAGCAGAGATAAACCACCACTTAAAGACACTTGAAAATCCCAGTTGTTGCAAGTTAAATAATTTTCTCCAATTCTGTGACTTTAGAGATATTGGAATGCAGCAGGACAGTTCTTTTCAGTGGCTGAAGAGGTTGGAAATAATGTCAAGCACAGACAGCCACTGATGATAACCATAACAGCACTTTAGCGCTGAACTTTTAGCGGTTTCCATTATCTCCCTCCAAAACAAAAAATACTCATTTTTTCCAACTTATTCTTTCTTCCTCAAATCTTTATTCATCTTTACCACTGAAGCAAAGAAACACACAAAATGTAAAAGAAAACTTCTGCTATATTCAATACCAGTCATACCTTTACTGGTGAGACTGCTGCCTTCATAGGTCTTTCCTCTGGTTTGTCTAACATAGAGGTTATTGTTTTAGAACTGCAAAGAAAAAGCATATAACAACTTCAACAAACAGGTCATTACTTTAAGCCTTTTTGAAAAAGCAAAACAAAGATTCATTTATACATACTCAAATATAATCTCTTGGCAGTTTTCTATTTAGCCTGTTCTTATCAGATTTAGAAGCAAACCTTCTCCTATCCATAGCAAGGAGATATTCTTGCAGCTTTGTTTCCTTGCAAAAATTTCTTTGCTTGTTAGTGAATTCAATACAACTTCTACCTGGCATGACAGAAACCATATTTTTGATATCTTTTAGATTTTTGAGAAAGCTTTATATAATCATAGCCACTCTCCAAACAATATCGGTGTTGCTGTCTCCATCCTTGTCCTACATTTATACCTCGAGAACTGAAATCAAAGTGGAGGAAAGTGCAAAACTCTATTTTAATCAGATTTTAATGAAGTGTCCAAGTCAAAAAAAAAAAAAAAAAAAAAAAAACAGAGGAACCCCATCACCACTATAGCAAAGATGTGATATGCCACAGATGACAACACATCCCCTCAGAGGTACGGCTTATAAAGCTATTCTTTCAATTAAGATCTATGAAATCTGTGGTTTGATAGCATAAGAAAACTAAGTTATTACTTGTGATCCTGATTAAGTATGTCCCAGGTAAGGAGGAGTTAAAACAGCTAGAAGAGACAGCTCCTACATTATATCAAGAAATATTTCATCTATTTGCAGAATGATGCAAGGTTTTTTTTCAAAACAATCTAATTTTTATAATTTGAGTTTATCTAAACATCTCAGATATGAAAAAGCATTTGGTTTTTGAAGATGGAAGTTAGATGTGGATTTAAATATGGTCTTCATATAACAACCACATTCAGTATCTTAACTTTATATAGAAAATGCTGGCATTAACCAGCTTACATGCTTATGATTTTGGGGATGGGGGAAACAGTACAAGGCAGGAAAAGATGAATATTCTCCAGGTAGGAAATATGACCTCAGGTTAGGAAGAAAAGCAACTCCTATGTTTTTTCCAATATAGCTGTGCAATGAGATTCCAATACTGAATATTTCTTTGGTCAACTATCTCTGATATGGGTGAAAAGACTTTCAGATATTGATTTGTAAGTAGCAGAGCCAGGATACAACACTTTTGAGGGCAGATGTGGTATCTCAGGACAAGAAAACAGCTTCCAGCTCTCATCAAGTTTCAGTTTCAAACAGGAGTTGACTCCTCACATGGACAAAGAATTCTCCAACCACGTAACCAGCAACAGTCTGCCCAGCTGCAGGGAGAACAACTTTCCCATCTTCTCCAGGGTGCAGTACAGCTAACCTCAAAGTTTAGAAAAAAAGTCTGGCAGCCACCCTTGAGAGGCTACCGGCCTCTGGACTGCTAAGTGTCTCTGAGAAGTAACATCACTCCCATTTTACAGGTGGAGAAACATCATTATGGAGAAGATAAGATGATACAGTAATGAGCAGCCTGAACATAAGGCTAGGAAAAAAATACCAGTTGTAATCTGAACTATAAACTTCTATATCTCTTCCTTGCTCTTTTGGTTCAACACTACCTTTAAGAAGTATACCACCGTGCATAGTGATATAAACTTAAGGTATGAGCTGATCTTGTAATGGAAACTATCTCATGGGTCAAAAAATAAACTGTTCTTATATTTCAAGACTAACTGCAGGACCCTCTTATATGCACACACCAGGTATAACAGATTGTTATTGTTCTTTTTATTCTTCTCTGATCCTAAATAAACCCCCCAATTTTCTAGTTCTCAAAGAGCTCAATATTGCAACTTTTATTAATTTCTTTTCAAAAAATATCATTCCACATTACAGTTTTTAACCTTAGTTCTAATATTATTTTTTTTTAATAAAGGCTGAAAATACATATATTTAAAGAAACTTTGTTCTGCTGAACTGGAGTTTATGTGCTTGCTTTCAGAAGCACTGAAGTTTGTGGGTTTGTTTTTATGAGCACCTGTGTGTTCCTGAACTTTGCGTCTCATCTACAACATCTACTACCCGACAGGACAAACATGCCCTTTTTTTTTTTTTTTTTTTTTTTTAAGGTCTAGGTCATGAATGCTTCAACCTTTTGCTCATTTTAAACAAGGAAAATACTGTTATGTACCCTGGGCTGCAAGACACTGGTAAGATATTCTTCAATCTGCAGTTTTTACAGGTGGGGAGGTAACTTTAAGTCTCATTGAGCACACATACACAATTCCACAATATTTTAATGCAATGCTACTTCAGAGTTACCATAGAATAATTAAAGAGTTGTTAAATTGGCATTACATGCTGAAACCCCTGCTCTAAACACATAAAGTAGAGAAAAAACCACACCCAGGATCCTATAACTAAGTGTGAAAATACGAGTCTACCCTCAACCCATACAGATGGGAAAACTGAACAGTTTCCAGATATGCTGCATTCACAAGGCTAATCCAAGAAAGTGTATGAAGCCAAAGTGATAAACACACCCAGATTAAAAAATTCCTGCACTGCAACTCAGCAAAGCAAAGTGCTGAGAACCACAATGAAGGCCCAAACTCCACAAAGACTGGACAGCACTGGACAGGAACCAAGGGGCAACAAGGCAAAGGCAGGAGCAAAGCTGGAGAAAGGGGTTATAGATTTCCAGGCATTGTCAATACAATCTACTCAGAAATGGCCTCCTGTTCAAAAACATAAGCTTTCCTGGGCTCATCCTGAAGGGCAGAGAATCTGGTGTGAGTAAAGTTAGTGTGATTTAACAGTACTCCATAAAAATGTCTTATCTAGGTATCCCAGCACCCCTATTATTCCAGAAAAGTTACATGGATTTTAAGAATTAGGACTTTTGTGCAAATTTTCACCTTGCAGAACTCTAGGACCCACACCTGTTACCTGTTCAATGTAGACTAAGAATATTTTCTAGCCTAGGGAAGAAAATAACCTACAAGTCGTAATTTGAAATATAAAACTCCTTTAACATTGCCCTTTTTTAAGAGTCTACATATAGACAGATGGTATCACTGAACAGAGGTAATATTGACAGTCTGAGTCACCCTATGAAAACTCATTCTGTGCAAGGTTACACCTTCAAAAACACTCCACACACCTGGCCTGTAAAGGCTCTGGTATGCAAGGAAAGTACCACAGTGATATAACGCCCAAGAAAAAAAATTGTTCATAGCTTCATTACTGAATTTAGATATTTGGGGTATGGGGATAAAGATCACTATGCTAATTTTAAGAATATAGTTGTGGGCTGATTTCTGTTCCACCTTATATATCAGCACCCTGACTCAACAGCAGTTCAGATCTACCAGAACTGAACTTTCTTCACATTCAGTAAGAATTGTTTCGGTTTAAGAATAAGATCCAGAACAAAAAGAGTCTGGGTAATTTGTCATCACATATCTTCTGGTCCCAATCCTCAGGTTAGCAGCTGTTCAGTTTACGCAAAGCTTGCAAGCCAGTGCTGGCCTGAAGCCCACTCTTAGAGGAAGAAGGAGAAAAAAAGACCCCAAACCCTAAAACCCACAACTCCCACAAACCTACCCTTAAAGTAGCACTTTAAAAAGTTTTAAAAGTCTGAGTGCTTGAACCACGTGTAGCATTTGGACACTAGCAGCTGTGAACTCACATTATACAATCCTAAACTCCAGAATGATACTCCGTTTCATCCTCTTAGATCTAACCCTGTTGAGACTATGCATTGCAAGGGGAAAAGTCTATTAATTCCTCACAGCTCTGCTATCCTAACAGCCAAATTAAATGTCTGTAGTGTCTAGGTTTTCCATTCCCACCCCAACTGGTGGGATTATTACTTCTCCAGCATTGTGTTTCCCTTCAATTCTGGATCAGCTGCTGCCATTAAAGACAGGCCCACAGTCATGTCAGACCATTTTCTTTCAAAGTCTAGTATCAAGAGAACAGAAAGGAGGGGTATTTTAAAAACATATGGCTCTTCCTGCAATTTCCCACATGCAATGTTGTGTAGACTAATCTCAGTCATAGTGAAATAAACCCATACTGAAATCACAGGCAATTAATTGCACGTAGTCCTGCCATGTTTGCTTGCTTCAGCTTTTGACATTTTAGAAGCAAATAATCTGAGACATCTAATCAAGTATTTATGCAAAGTAAATGCAAGTAAGCACCCAGCCCACATCTTATAGAACACTTCCTAAGGTCCACTTCTAACCGTCTCTCAAATCCTGGACTGTGTGAGTTTGCTTTAGAGGGAAGATCTTGAGCTATTGGTGAGAGTACGAGCACACATGAACAAGGCATGCATGCTGATTAATTTCTGGCACAAGTTGGAGCAAAGGGCAGGAGAGGGTCCTGGACAATAGTTATCAAGCTTCACATGGCTATGGCCTGAAATAAGTCAGCAAATCACCTCAAGTTAAAGACCACTATCAAGTTGGTCATGTTCCAAACAATTGTCTACATGTTCTTAAACCTCGTTATGTTATATATTTTCAAAAAGACTGCCCTGGCAGTTTATGAAATGTATTACTCTATCAATCACACACAATTTGTGGAGTTGTAATGGTAAGAATAACATTATAAGGCTGTACTTTTAAAGTACCATCATCTTTTCCTGATGTCCAAAATGACATGCAAAATATTCTAAAAGATATATTAAACAGCAGCATGTCTTGTGCTATCCATAAAGAAATAACCCCATAAAAATCTCCTGAAGGTAAAAGCCTCCTGTAAAAAAACCTATAGTCAGTAACCACTAACTGTCGGCATTATCAGCCAGCTTGGGGGTGCAGGGGGAAGCAAAGCTCTTTCTTGTGATAAGCAACCTTTATCATCCTTACTGTGCGACTTCATTTTTTGGGAAGTCTGTAACAAAGTAGTTTATTTGACCTTTTTCAGCATGATTTCAGATGCAGGTAAGACAAATACTCCCTTGAGTTCACTGATAATGATGTGTAAAGGGTAAGACAGACCAGTAATGCAAGCCAGAGTTGTTAAGACTTACACCAACCTTTGGTGCCATTCATCGCCAACGTGCATGCCCAGTTTGCAGACCACGAAAGTGAAAGATTCAACTGCTACTAGATACTGTACAAATGCATAGTAAGAGACAAGCCTTGCTGCAAAGAAAAAACAGATGACATACAGAGAAGGAAGGACTTAGACAAGAAAGTGAAAGGTTACAGAGCTTATCAATGGCGCAACCAGAAGTAAAACAGTCATCCTGAGAAGTAACTCTAGCTCTTACCTCACTCTGTTCACTGAAAGCACAAACAATAGCTATTTGTGTTACACGCTGGTTCTTGTTTCCTCAATGGTATTGAGGAATCTGGCCATTTAAAGACATTTCATTTCCACCTGCTGTCACCCTAGCTGAGATCAGCATTTTCCCTTTCAAATGCAGGCTTTTTGAAAGCTTTTCACACAGCCAATGAATTACTACATGTAGGTATTTTAAAGAGATGACATGCATCTCTCTTGGAAATCAACTCAGGATATTTCAAAGCAAAATGGAGCTGTTTGGGATGTTTACAGACTTGAGATAGAGTGATTTTACACAAAATCCTCTGTAGTTCAGAAACTACTTATCATCCAACTTTTCTGCAACAACTATAGCCATTCAGGCATATCCAAGCTGATTGTCTTGCCTTACTCTGAGTGGTAGCCTCTCCCTTCCAGAAAGACATTTATTTTTCTTGAATCTGACTTACTTTCTGCAAGTATGCAAAGATTCTGGTTCTTTCCACCCAAAATACATTTGGTCTCCTTAAAAAGTCTCAGAGATCTTAAACTGTGCACCCAAAAATCTGGAAAATTCTAAAGCACAATTTCTCAGTCTCTGATTCTTCTTATGATCCAAGCTTAAAATTCAGGCTGAATCAATAGTCTGGTCTCATTAAGTGACTGAATGAGGAGATGCAGAGGTTATTGTTCCCCTATTACTAACTGCAGAGGACTGATCATGGCCAAGCATTCTAACCAGAAAGTCCTGGTCTCACTTCTCAGAGCCAGACTAAACTGTGACATGAGAACATGTGTGGGACCATTCTATACACCATTGACAACTTTTTACTTGAAGAGGTAAACCAAAGATTGTTCTGCATTTGAATACAGAACAATTAACAATGCACAACTATTTGTCAACCTTTCACATGCACAGATTCCTTGGGTGATTCTGAGGAAACATTTGATGACCTTTGAAATGAAAGGCAAGTACAATATTTTGGATGGAACTTACAGCTCAGAAGTTTCACCAGTCCTAATATATACATACAAAGTGTGATTAAACAGACAGCTTACCTTGAACCAGATTTCAGTTCTTCTTCTGGATGTTCCACAATGCCATGTAGTTCTGGCGGCACGAAAACTTCTTTATTAACATTGCTCACCCAGCTGTTCTTTGCTTTGTTTGATTTGTTCTGACTTACTTCAGCTAAAACATGAAACAAGAATATTGTTGTCTCCCATGTGTTCATACAGGATTTCTTAAGAAACAAATAAAAGTATTTGCATTCAGTCTTACAGCTATTTCAAAAGTCCACTATACTTTATTTTTGTACAGAAGCAGACCTGGTGCCTTCTGAAGAATAATTTTTTTAATGCTACTAGAAATGTCACATACTGCTCTGAATACTTCACTCTACTATTCCAGGTACATCTACTTTAGACCTTAAAGTGATCCTAAATGGAGAAGCTTTCTACAACAGCCCTGGTAAAGACTGATCCTGTAGTTCTTGCAGCGAGACAAACATTGAAAATTCAGCCTTGGTGTCCTGAGGAAACAAAAGCAATTAAACCACAAGAAACTGAAAATATATTGAAGTTCAGTTAATCAAATCAATTATTCCCTTCCTACAGCAGTAAACTGGAAGTTGGTCGTAATTCTGATTTGAGCAGGTGGCTAATCCTTTATGGATAGAATTAGCACAAGAAGTTAAGACAACAAGTATAAAAAAAACCCAGCCAAACAAAAAGAAACAAAAAGCCCTACCTCATTCAGCAAATGCAAATACATTTGCATTTCTTTTTGGGGTGGGACGGAATCCTATTCTGATAACCCCCTTCAGAGTCAAAACATTAATTTACATTATTTCCTCTACTGCTTTTTGCACTCCTCCAACAGTTTAGAAATTAAGAATTTCTTAGTATGCAAAAATAAGCAAAATTTTTATTCTCACTTTTGCTATCCATAACTGCAAGCAAAAATATCTTCACATCTAATGAGTTATTGAAACCAAGCAATTGCACAGTGTTCTGAATGAACCAGTATGCCCCTTTGTTCAAGTCATAAGATTGGGAGTAATTAACCTTCCTTTAAGATAATATGGCTTTAAGTACTTTCCTTTAAGTTACTGTAAAATTTAGGTAGAATTTTACAGCTGATTTTCATAACTTTCAAGTCCAAAACCAGCCAAACCCACAAACATGCTGCACTAGCCACCTGCGAATTTTTGCATTCTTTTCCATTTCAGGCCTTTTCTTGTTAACTTAAAAACCCAAAACCATCACACAGTAATCTCAAACTGACTTAACTGCCATTATCCAAACTCATCTCTGGGAATATAGGAATTTAGAAGGTGTAACATTGCAGGATTAGACACAGGAAAACAAGGCTAAATTGTAGTTAAAAAACCTATAAAAAGTAGCAAGCTGTAGTCCATCCACAGTATTGGGAGAAGTACCTTCCTTGCTCCACTAGCACACAGCAAAATCCCTTAACAGAACTTAAAAAAATAAAGACTGCAAATTTCAGTACAATCTGGTAAGAATAATAAGAGTCTTGCCCTTCTAAGTCAAAAGGACTTAGTAGAACTAGAGGAGATTAAGAGGCGATGGGGGTCAATTTCTCTAAGAAAAAGACCACTTTCTGTACAAAGAACGACAAAATAGACCAGGACTCTTCAGATTAGAAAGTCAGATGCTGAAAGATTTATAATAGAAGTCTATAAAATCCTATATACTATATTATATATGGTTTTGTGAATATAGATCAACTGCTCACTTTCATAGAATCATTTAGGTTGGAAAAGACCTTCAAGATCATTGAGTCCAACCATCAACCATGCCCACTAAACCATGTCCTGAAGTGCCTTGTCTACGTGCTTTTTGAATACTTCCAGGGATTGTGGCTCAACCACTTCCCTGGGCAGCCTGTTCCAATGCCTGACAATGCTTTTGGTGAAGTAATTTCTCCTAATATCCAATCTAAACCTCCCCTGCCACAACTTCAGGCCATTTCCTCTCATCCTATCTCCAGCCACCTGACAGAAGAGACCAGCACCACCTCACTACAACCCCCTTCAGGTAGTTGTAGAGAGCGATAAGGTCTCCCCTCAGCCTCCTTTTCTCCAGACTAAACAACCCCAGTTCCCTCAGCTGCTCCTCACAAGACTTGTGCTCCAGGTCCCTCATCAACTTGGTTGCCCTTCTCTGGACACGCTCCAGCACCTTAATATCTTCCCTGTAGTGAGGGGGCCAAAACTGAACACAGGACTCAAGGTGCAGTCTCACCTTTCTCTCCCAGGGATAATGTTAATGGTGATCAGTTCAAAACCAGAAAAGGAAATGGCCACTTCTGATGTGGAAAACCTTAATTTTAAAATGCCTTGAGACAGGACATGGTGAATGTTAAAGAGGCATGGCCTTAAAGAACTTCTTGAACAAATTAATGGGGAAAAAAAATAAGCCAGAAATACTGGCTCTATTTCAAAAAAGCCTGAGGTGCAATTGGCTGCAGGCTGGTCCTGGCCTTGGAGCCTACACATGCTGCCAGGCACTCTGAGAGGCAGGGTGCTGGGGAGACAAGCTTTTGGTCAGGTCCAGTAGTGCAGCTCTTATGTTCTCTTTTGTTTCGTTTCTCTCCAGCAAAACATTATATTTACTTCTGATGTTCAACACAATGCATTATCTTCCCACTTTCTGATTTTTTTAAATAAGAATTTCAGAATATAATATTTATTATCATGTGAGCACTAAGCTTGTCAACATTACTCAGTTTACACACAATATACTACTACCTATCTGTACTACTAAACTAATGTCTGCAACTGTTACCTGGCACAGGAACACAGCTGGCTTTAACAAATATTTCTAATATTTAGGTGGGGGCATTTAAAGTTAACATGGACACTGGATGCCAGTTCTAGCTGCCAGAGCTCCCAGCACATATATTTCAGTAGTTATAACTACTACCTCTAGCTCATGATGCCTACCATTACGCCTCAGAGGTCTCAAAGTGAGCACCCAAAATCTTGGAAAACCATACTAAAGAGCAATTTCCTCAATCTCTGATTCTTTGCACATTCCAGGGTAGCTCACAGGGCCTCGAAAATGGAAATGAGAATGCTGTCCAAGAGTGCAGAGGCCTTTTAGTCCTACATATAAACACAAGCCAGTCTCTCCCCTTAGCAGTCATCACACAGAATTTTGTCTTTAATACATAGCATTGGGGGAGAGGAAAGCTTACACTGTAAACTATATGGGAAATCTCTTTTTTGCATCATTTTCTGCTTGTAGAAATACCAATGTTCTTCTTGTATTTCACAGGCAACAGTGTCTGAGGTTAGTTAAGTAAGAGCCAGCCTTTCCAAAATAAAATACAAACCAAATGCTTACCAAGAGTGGCAGGCTTCCGGCGCATGGACGCTCTAATAATATCTGCTCCATGTATCTTATCTCTGTGCCTCTTTGACTTTGCTTCATAAAACCACTGCCCGCTCATATTCTTTAGCTGAACATCATCTTTGACTTTTTCTGGTAAATGCCTGAGGAAGAGAAAAATGAATAAGTGAGACACACACAAAATCTACTTACCTGTGTGAACAGAATAAAAGTCAGATTTTTGTTGTTGTTGTTTTGGGGAAGGGAGTTGTTATTTTCATCTTCTGACCTGTTAGTCTCCTTATTTAATTATGAGGGATGACAATGAGCTGGGGAGGGAAGACCCTCAGCCCCATTACCCTCAAAGCATCAGCTGAAGTAACTCTTCAAAAAACAACAACAACAAAAAAACCAAAAACCCCAACTTTGCTATGATAAACTCTCGAGCAGAGACAGCCCTGGAAAAGTCTCTGGTAACTGCAGATCTTGACTTCTTGCCTCCAGAGGCCAGTTTTCCAAGGTTAAAATTGAGATAAGCTAGCAGGGCAGCATAAGAAATCTGGGCCAAAATTAAGTCCATGACAGTTTTGGCACTCAGAAGATGCTTTTTCAGACTGTTCACATGGCACTACCTTTACACACACATTCCAAAAGTGCATCGTAAAGATGGTGCCATTTTTTCCATAGGTTGCACAAAAATCCTTATATGAATACAATGAGTTACAAAGGCAGACAGCATCAAATGGAAGAAGAAACAAAATAAATTTTTACAGTTTATTAACCTACATGTATACATTACATAAACTGCACCCATTGTAAATACCATGAAGCAAATTTTTAATAATTTGATCTCAGGCTTCAGGGTCACCCTGCTTTTATGAAGCACACTTCAACAGAATAAGGAGTTGCTGTGTCCACTTTGAAAGGTTGTTTTCTTTCCTCTTTAGGCATATAACACATTAGGTATACACTTATGCATGGCCTGGAGACTAACCTGCAGACCAGGAAAGTTACTACACAGATTTAGAGAGTACTTAATCAAAAAAGTCAAGTCAGGCTTCATCTGCCTTCTCCATTTATGTCCTTGCCTTCAGCAAACAAGCTAATAACAGAGCCCAAGGGAGAACTCAAAACAAATCAACTTACTCAGAGACTTTAAGGCTAAACACAGTCCACAGTTCTGTGGGATGGTGCTATCTTCCACAAGCCTGATGGCCAATCATAGAATGGTTTGGGTTGGAAGGGACCTTTAAAGGTCATCTAGTCCAACCCCAAGGAGGTTCCTGCCAGTTTTATATTGTTCATGAGTTTAGGAGAAGGAACTTCTAGTGCAATCAAGTAGCTATGATGACAGTCCTTTTATTATAGGTTCCAGATTTGACTGTCAAGTACAGACAACCATTCACAGCAGAGAAAGGACACTGAGCCAGTCCCAACTCCCACACTAAGATAGACCACTCTCACCTATCACTCAACTTCTTCATCTTTGTATGGCCAGAAATGAAAAAGCTTATTTGAATGCACCAGCTATATTAGAATACCTAAACTTCTTTTTGAAAGTACTGTCAACACCGAGTCCCTCCAAGGTGTGTAAACAACTTCTCTGTCTCAAATCAGCTACACACAGTTGAGGCTGCCAGGAGTTGAGGTCACCATTGGCGTTTTTAATGCCAAGATTCAACAGTCCATAGCATTACTGGGCCATTTAAAATTTGGCCCTCTCTCTTGCTTATAACTCTGTGCTTTTCTAAGAGCCAAAATATGCACTTTACATATTCTGCAGATCTTCCACGTTGGAACAGGAACACAGCAGTAGCTTCCCTCTGTCCTCAAGCAAATATATTAACTCAGGTATGAGTCAACTCCTCATTGCTCAGCCAGTTTATGAACACAGCCAGTATGAATAGTAGAAATAGGGCACGCAAGAACTTCTTACACAGGTGATTGCTTCTCCCTTTCACCTTCTTTCCCATGTGTTATTTGTCTTCTCAGAAGAGATTCTCCTTAGGGCTAGAGACTGGCTTTTCAGCTATTTGTACAGCCTGCAGGGCAGCTGACCCCAGCTAGAGCTTCAGGGCAGTATGACAACACATGGCAAGGGAGGTTCTCTAGTGGGAAGGTACTGAGTCACAGGACAAGTATTCAATGCCCTCACCCTGTTTGAGCTAACCCTTCTGCCCCAGACACTGCTCACTCCTTTTTGGCTTTGTATTCAACCACTGAAATTAGGGTGTGGCAGGAGAGCTGTACAAATCAGCTCAGACCAATAAATCACTGTAGAAGAGGACAGGATCCCAGGCCTCTCAGCTATATCAGCCTACTTACCTGCTTGTTGGACTCTCAGATCTGCGAGCAATTAACATAACATAAGCAGGACAGATTCACGGATTTGTCATGGCTCTAGACTCACTAAATGTCACCTATGGCCAATGCAGCTGTCACTTTGGCTGGAAGTGAATGTCAGGCACCTTGCTCCCAGCCCTGGCTTGCTGCCTATGGAAGTTAGTATACCTTAAGTCCACCAGCTCAACAGGCCTTCTAGGCTTTAGGAGATAATTATGCTTGCTAACAAAGGTATAAACATGCTTCCAATTTACAAATGGCTTGTCTAGCTGACAGGGCTTGTATGATAAGAAGTGACAGAAGCTCACAGCAGCTGACTTAAACTACTTCTTTTGCCTTCCCTTCTCACCTTGATAGCACTTGACCTTTGTTAGCTTGGCTTACTCATCTCTTCAAGAGAAGTATTTACCCTCTCAGTCCCATCTTTTGAGGAACTAAGAGCCACATAAATATTAAGAGTTATTCCCAGGCTTTCCCCAGTCACAAATAAAGAAGCAGATTTCCATTATCAGAAAGACAATTAGTTCTAGGTCTTTGCAGGGAAAAAAACTTTTAAGAAGCCTGCGTTCACCAACACATCATAGACCTGCTGCAGAAACAGCTGCTGAGGTTACAAATTTTTTACAATGCTACTTGAATTCTCAAGCTCTGCTATGAGCCAGCCTTAGCAGTAATATTAAACTGCTTGCACTATGAGGGCCTGTTTCACTGCTAGGCATTAGATTTAGATTGTGGTTTACCATGAAAGGAATTGTGGAGAAATCAGACTGTAGCCATGTTTTTCCACTGCTATGTACACCTCCCAGCACGCCACAACAGGATCAGAAGCCAACAGTTGATTCTGCACCAGCTCCCCAGTCAACAGAAAGGCTAACCAAGTTGTCATTACATTATTTTCCTCTCGGTGACCGAAGAACTAGTAGGTGTCCAGAGTAAGATTCAGATTGCAGGCTCAGTTGCCAAGTTTGCAATCAGAAGAAAATGCAATAACGGCTTTACATATGATGTAAGCATGTATTCTGGAGTAAGTGGTCTGTTAAAATGCCAGTTAGCCTATATGGCAGTTTTTAAAGTGAAACAGCCTCAAGTTATAAAAAAGCTAGTGTCTTTTTCTTCTACAGGAACATTGAATTCAGCAAAATGAAGGTACATAGTTAAAAGGAATTCACTCTAAAATCCACTTTTAAAATAAGCCTGAGTTCTCCCATTACTTAATATGATTTTGCCACTATGCCTAGGTGAAATATTTTTGATGGCAAGATGACAGACAAATTTTTCATCCCACTCAGTATTAAGTACATGCAGAATTACATTGACTGGGCATACAAAGCAACTGTCTGGCACTCTGCAGGCAAACAAAAAATCTACACATGTATTAATTGGGTTGTTTCTCCACACCTCCAGAATATCTGATAGTGGGCTAAATCACATGGTACCACTGTAAGGCAGGAAATCTGCTCTGATATAATCAGTCCTTGTCTACCTTCCTATCAGCAAATACAGAATGGTTTAGCTTATGCTTTGTAGGCTTGTGTAATAGTTCATTGCATGTTAGGGCAAAGTGATAATGATTTCTGCTTCTCTTTTTGTAAAACAGTATCTAGCAATACATACCTGTATCTAAAACTTCAGCTACACCTCCTCAGTGTCTCTTAACTCCTTCCCCTGTACCCCTCTTATTCATAGTCCGTATTACAAACCACCACAGAATTTGCAAGATGTGACAACTGACATTTTAATAACTTCTTTTATTGCCTTATTCCTCAATCGACAGCTTAAACTGAGCTTTTTCAGACAGGAGAGTCTGTGTGGTACCAGCACATTTGGGGAGTTCTTGTGGCAAACTAAGAAGCATTTAAATCAGAGTCTACGGCTCAAAGAGACAGATTCATTAGTGTCTCACACACCCTATTCTGAACATATGAAAAAAAGCATCCCAGTGACTGGTGGCAAAATAAAGGCTTTTAAAAGCCTGATACCTTAGCTACAAATTCACTTCTAAAACCTCCCTCCTGCAAATGAAATACCAAATGAGTGGAGAAGGTAGATGGAGAGAGACTTTTGAGGAATTTACCTTCAATTCTATTTGCTGCAAGCATAACAATAAACCCCAAACCAACAAAAAGATGACAAATTATTTAAGTTCTGGCTCACCTTCCAAACATAGACAAGATAAACTTTTTGTAGTATCACTCATGCAAGAACAGGAGTAAAAGGATATTAGACCAGGCATAAATGTCAAAATTGCTGATTAGATTTTTTTTTTTCTTCTTTGAGAGTGGAAAACAGCCACAAAAGGTTTTCAAGGCAAAAGGAATAATTGTTTAAACATTCCACTTTGCATGAGCATGCCTTTTTAGTCTGCACATATCTAGATAAGGCGTAGGAAAAAAGTCTGTTCTGGCATTTGTTAGAGAACTACACCCAAAATGTTTGTAATGGGCAGTCCCAAGTTGGGAATATGGATTATTACTTTTGCATGGTAGCTGCACACACATGATTTTAATAAAAATCAGTTACTATTTGATTGTTTTTTAAGCAATAAAGCAGTATCATTTTATACTGGTTGAGGGCTATACTAGGAAGAATAAAGCAAACCAATGGGTTTATGCAACCTTTCCCCATCCTTGTCATCATGATACCTCATCAGCAACACCTCTTTAATTCTTGCCTTTGGGGTCTCTTTGGATAGTGAGGTTTTGGGTAGGTACTAGGTGGAGACACGAGAAAAAGGCAATCTCGTTCTGTTTGTAGTCATGCACATTCTTCCATTTTATGCCTATTCAGAAGTCTGGGTGTGTTAGGTCTACTAACAATACCC